GAACGGAGTCTTAGTGTTAATCCAAATAATTAGGGAAACTATAATAAAACTTGAAATCCACGCAGAAAAGCCCTCACAAATGCTGGCAGTGGGAAACTAACATGTACCTACGTGAGCCTAAAGTTTAATGGATTTTATGGTTGGACTTCCTAGAGACTTACACGTGGCTCTGCATCTTCCATGAACTTCGTGAAAGCAGTACTTCTGGTTCTGCCCAGTGGGTCTGATGCAATTCAGCTAGTGAGCCTTCTCAGGAACTGATCCTCTTCAGGATTTCAACCGTCTTGCTCAGAACATTACGCATAGTCGTCTATGACCACGCACAACCCATTCATGTGAGGAAAGCGTGAACTGCCTTTCCGTGGAAGGTGCCTTCAATTTTCTTAGGGTAATAGAAGTGCAAATCTGCACATATGCACCGCTTGTGATTATGGAGATAAATACGTACTCAATAACCATCGCGATTACGAATGCGAGTCGAAAATCTCAGAAATAATCTCAGGAATTTTCAACGCGTCTTCCTAGCTCTTAAACTTTAAGCATTCAATGCATTTTTGAGCCCATTCATGAGGATGAACAAGTTCGCTAAGAATGATGACCGCTTGGTTTGAAGGAGTATTGTAATTTTCTCGGATAATGATGTGCCGATTTTCAAAAGCTATCCACCATCACAAGATCTTTCTCTGCTTGTGCATAAAGTCTTGTGGAAACATGCGATGGCAGGGAACGGCTGTGGTAGATGATCCCTCTTTTTTCTCTTCGCATGATTTGTACAAGGCTGTCAAGGAGACGATAGCGACGTTTAGGCATAATCTTCAAACCACTTTAATTCTTCTCATGAGCTACGTGCCTCTGCTGCTAGTTAAGGTTGAACACTGCGTATCCCAAATGGGATCACCAAGGTCCAGCACTCGGATTATCCTGCTTTGAGATGCGAGTAAGACAAAAGCTACCGAGTTTAAGCCATCAAAGTAACCTGAGCGCTTTTAATTGAGAATAAATTCAGGTGAAAATTAATGACCAACCGATGACATCCCAGATGCCGCTGAACGAATAATCGGTCAATTGCACGGCTTGAATGTTGTTGTACCAGTTCAGTACCACCTGAAAATTATACTACCCTTTCCTTTGCCCGTCGAATTTCTTTCTACAGAATATTCACCTCATCTAAATTATACGTCCATGACCCGAATACGAGCGTACAACTTTGTTCATCAAATGGGAACCTGAAAATGAATTATTTCAATATGGTAAAAATAGTTTCTATCCAGCAGATCCACCCCTTGAAATAACCGTGCTGTCTAAGGATTGGGAACGAACCATTCGACATCAATGCGACAACTGCTTTTGAACATCGCTGGAGGCACCCATGTGACGTCACCGTTTGATTCGACGAACGCGTTCGATCGGAAGGACACCTCATAATTGCCGTCCGCGCTGAAATGATTAGGTCAACTCGACTCGAACATTTAATGATCTCCCTCTGAAGCTGTTCCAAGCATGACCTGTCTGCACACCACTTTTGGCTCAAAACGAGGACTTCACCCGCCGCCTTAGCGAGAATTCCGCAGGGCTATCGCAATATACGGGGGCATTTTGTAAACACCTGTACACGCTTCTTTAACGTCTCTGAACGTGTGCATGTTTGAATGTTTCGAGTAGGCGTCCGGTGTCCAGGCAGAAGAGCGCATGCTCTCCTTAGTACTGAATCTAAGCTTGGTAAAGAGAAGAGAGAGATGATTTCGAGGCCCTATCGCAAGATACGGGGACATTTTGATGGGAGTGCACTTTAAACCGCCTAAAACATCGCATTTCTCTCGAAAAATGGGCTGAAGCCTCAGGTGGAGGAGAAGAAACTGCATATTGCGTAACCAATTTTTTTCTGATGTTACGGCCCCGGTCCTAGAGGTAACCTCTAAAAAGATCAGATGTTACAAGATTGATTGCACAAGGTGGTATGATTGGGTAACACATACCTGGAACTCCTACCCTGCTCAAGTCTCTTCAAATTTATGACATCATATATGAAAATTTTGTCTTCGTGCATTATTGAATTCTTGATGAGAAACGCATTCGTTCAATTAGTTGCTCATTTAAGTGCTCCTCCCCTAGAAAAAGC